AAACTAAGAGTGTGAACTGTATGTTTGTGTGGTTCAAATAGTGATGCTTGCAGCATTAATCATCAGTCAACTGTCAAGAGTTTTCAGAATATTTGCTCTATTCTCTTAAGGTCTTAGTGTAACCAAAAAATGAGGCTAAAGATACAATTTTCCATTCCCTTATGATCTCCAATCAATCCAATCCAATCCACTTTATTTATATAGCAAATTTAATAACAGAAAAAGTTTCCAATGTACTGTACATGACAAATAATAAACAACAACACAACAGTACATAAACACAATACAACTAAAAGGACAAAGAGGACCACACAAACTACACATTGTTAAAAGAGTAAAAGTGGGTCTTACGACGAGACTTAAAACACTCCACAGTAGAGGCAGTCCGTATGTGGAGGGGCAGAGTATTCCAAAGTCTGGGGCCAACTACAGAAAAGGCTCTGTCCGCTCTGGTTTTGAGCCTTGTCTTAGGCACTATTAACTGAAGATAGCCCTCAGACCTCAGAGCATGTGCCGGAGAATAAATCTGGATGAGGTCAGTGATGTATTGAGGAGGTCACTGTTCAACTCATTATCCACAAATAGAAAGAGTGAGTTATAACAGCAAACTTGCCAAAAATTGGCATCCATCTGAACTGACAGGATGGGCATGGAAAACATTGATTATGAAAGAAACCAATAGCTCAATTGTAGCTCTGAAGGAGCTACAGAGACCCACAGCTCAGGTGTAAGAATCTGTTAAAAGGACCACTGATGGGTATTTCAAGGAGGAGAGAAGGAAGAAAGTCATTGTTAAAGGAAGCTCAGAAGTTTAAAGTTTATAGGTGACACAGTTATTGTGTGGAAGAAAGGGCTTTGGTCACATGATGATATATGATTGGCTTAGTCAAAGTATAGATTTAAACAGAGAATATGTGGTGAAACATGAAAGCTTACATCACACACACACAGCAAAACAGACTGTTTTCATTATAATGTAATGTTAAATAGCTAATATCACCTTGTTACAATACTACAAATGAAACCCAGATCAATCTGAT